TCCGTGCCGCTCCCTTGTAGTAAGTCATCCAGTTTACAATTCCCAAGTTTAAAGAAAGTTTCTGCAGGAGGAGCTACCGGGAATGAGCTTGCTACCAATTAGAGTAACTAGTATGTTGTTCATCTCCGTGTGGCTTGTGGCTAAAGTACATATTGTCACGGCCCTTTAGAAGCATTTGAATGTGTAGCACTACACCAGCAGCAAAAGGTAAAGGTTCTCCGTATGCATATAGAAGGGAGATATAGTTGCCTCCTAAATGGGTGGTATCTCTCGTGGCCCATCGACCCTGGGGGTTGCTTCGCTCTGTAAATTGCATTCTACAAGATAGTGTTGAATAGACCCCGCTTCAGATGGTTTAAAGTTATGTCCTGTTCTAAAAATTACTAAGCGACCATGCTAAAAGTGCCCTGGAGGATTGCTGCCATCAACGAGGCATGAAGATTGGAAATTCCTGGGGCACTTGAGAATTCTCGTGACCCTGGGTACGCATATGAGTGGCCCAGACATGTCCTCCTGCGGCCATGCGTGCGAGGGGGGTAAGGGTTAGTTAGAAGAAAATGACGACTTTTTTACAAAGTACCACTTTTATTAGACAGTACCTAGCATCATATCCTGGACTCCTTGACGAGGGATCCATGGAGCTATTGTGTCGTGTGATGTAAACATGCAGCAAGAGCAGATGAAACGTCTCTTATGAGCTAGATGGAAAGCTCAGAGCATGTCAGCAAGTTGACCAACCACTGGAATCATTTGCGCTCCGATTCAGTGCGCTCCAATTCAATTCATAGTTGCACTGGTGAGGCTGTTTATATCTCTATATTCAATAATCAGAGAGTGTTACAGAATCATATAAAATTAGCACATCACTGAGCCCCAACCAGAACGTCAGTAATGGATGTCCAGTTCACACATTATGTACTGTGCAGCGAGTTAGACAATAATCCCATATTTACATGCATTAGTTGCTGTGGTTAGGCTCCAGCGCATGGGTTGGACCAAATGAAGCTGCGTCGTTCAGCCAGCGTGCCAGATCCGAGGTTCTTCCCCCATACAGGGTCTCGATAAAGGGCAACCGGAGACTAAACCAGAAAGCCGAGGAATGCTAGACCAAATGAACAGTTGACATGGGTCACCTGCCATAGCAATGGACCGCGATCCATGGACCCGTCAGGGCTATCTGTAAATGTAGCCGCCTGTTGATATTTCTCGCTCAGCGGCATCCACGTTTTCTAGGCTTCGACTTGCGCGTCGACGGGGCGCGGTCCTTCAGCTTGGTGGAGTACCGCACCTGCAGAGTCGCCTTGGATCTGCCCGGGAAGCGCTTGGCGATCTCATCCCATGGCTCACCCTCCTCCTTGAGTTCCTTCAGCAGCGCGTCGTCCTCCGAGGCAAACGGCACACGCATACCGGTTGCGACGGGCGGCTGCTTTTTGCGACTGGGACTCGACAAACCGTTTGCCTTCACTGATAAGGGCCGACCAGCCTCCTCGTGATAGAATGTTATAGTATAGCACACTTTGGACCCGCTCAGGTAGCTTGAAAGAAAGCCGGAGACTGGTATGTCATCACCCGAGCGTTTCGTCACCGTATCGTCTTGTGGGACAGCGGGCACACAGGAGGAATCGCTGGCCGGATTTTTATGGTACTTCTTCGTCGGATTCCGTGACTTCTTATCGTTTATCAAAGCAGTCAGGGGAGGGTCATCTGTGCAAGCCGTGGAAGAGACAGTGGACACGGAGGAGGACCGCGCCGAGAGTTTCCGCCGCTTCCGCGACCGCCTAGTGACATGGTCATCATCGTCGTCGCTGCAGTCGCTGGAGTTATTGAAGTCACTGTCGTCGCCGGGATCGGTCCTATCGCCTCGCCTATCGCCTCGCCTCTCTGTCTCCTGGAAAGCGTCTGGTGTGGAAGGGATCTCGACTCGGACACCCATGTGTCGCACGCGTCGCCGCCTCATCAGTCGGTGCTCTCCCCCATCGCACTTTTCAGGATTGCCGGAAGTCCCAGGCTCCGATTCGGCACCCATGCCGGAAGATGTGCTGTCCGCAATCCCTCCACCTGTGGCACTGGTGCGCACAGCAGGACCAATAATCTTGGATTTGATATCGTTCGGAGAATCCTCTCCATCGCTCTCCAAGTCCACAAGGATCGGTTGTTCTGTTGAGGGCTGTCAGAAGCAGAGCTCCAGAGACAAGTGAAAGAAAGGCGCGAAACCGACTTACCTTGGCTGCCTTCTGGCCCTGGTAACTTCGCTGAACTGTACGGAAGCTTGTCGGGGAAATCCACCAAGCCAGGCGGTTGACACGAGGCTCTCGGTTCGGACTCGTCCATCGTGGTATTGCTATCAGGTAGGGGAGAGGTGATTTCCTGAGATGATGATCGACTGGCCTTCTGGGGGGTTTTATCGCTTGAGACTTCCCTGCAGGGCTTGGCGTCTGGCGCAGTTGAGCCTGGAGAAAAATTGCACCTTCGATCAGCCGATTGCCCAGAAGATCCTCCCTCGCTGAAAGACAAAGCGTGCCTACCTTGGATCACGCCGGCAACCCTTGGGCTAGAAGGCTCAACGCCATCCTGGTCGATGGAGTCGGAATTGGAACTGCTCATGTCGACCACTTCCACGACCTCCCAACGCTCCAGTTCAGCGTCGAACTCGTTCAGTGGAGCGCTCGAATCTCGACCCCCGATCTGGGTGTCAGGGCCCTCGCGGGCATCTCTACAGAAGGGAAGAGGAGGGCAGGGAAGATGGCGTGTAAGCGGTGGTTCAGGGATGGATTGTGCAAAGGGCAAAGGGGCTGGCTGGGGAAGACGGTGTTCAGGGATATAGTGCTTGATGGGAAGAGGCTTGGGAGGCTTTGGGGGGAGTGGAGAGTACGGGATGAAGTTCATATTCACGGCCATGCTTGCAGGAAGGGAAATTGTAGTTGGCGAGGGTTAAATCCCAGTGTCTATTCTGTTCGTCCTCTCGCGTCCAAATCGACCGGGAAAGCAGGTCCCTTATATAGACGTGATGTACACTGTTCTCCTCGTTGAAGCTAAAAATCCAGTTCCAGCTATCCCAGCTATGAGCAGCAAATCGCACCGCACCACAGTTGAATGGAAAGGATAAAATCGGTGACGCCGAAACTAGCAGCTCTGTGTTCGTTCGCTTGAGCAATTTCCATGTGTAGCTGACGTGGAACCACCCTTCCCCTTGAATAAAAAGCAAAGAAGCTCGTCAATGATTCACTGATGTGATTCTGCGCTATACCTTCCGTCACAGCCGTGTCAGCTGGACAACGATGCTCACCACGGATAGAGCTAACCCTGCAATACCGTCGTTACCCCGCAGCAAGGCAGACCACGAAAGATACGAGGCGGACAATTCGCATGCGCGATTCCGGAGTTTCTCATGCGGCTGAAATGTACAGCAATCTTGAATTCGCCTACGGAGAAACCGCCATATGGAGAGCAGTCTAAATAAGATCCGGTCTTCATCCCTGCATTTTTCATGCATCATCCGTCGTTGCAAGGACTTTGAGCAGCTGAAAGGCGCAGGAATTTCAAATCCGACTATCAGTTAGGGGCCCCCGTTGCAGAAATTACCCCTCTCCTCTTGTGGATTCGCCAGGTTTTTCGCTCCAGATGCGGGCCAAGAGAGGATCACACCACCATCGCCGGGCTTCGACCAATCGAAACGGGGTGATCAAGTTGCACGAACCTTGGGGGAAATGAGTAAGGGGGCGCAGCTCCATATCACGGTGAAGATAGCTGCGACCAGGGCGATCCTTCCCGTTGAAAAGTTCCTTATCGTCCCTCTCCCATTCGCCGAGTTTGATGGGATCCTGAACGGAAGGAGTTACCACATGCGGGAAAACCGACCGAGGTGCATACGCACTGTGTGCCAAGTATGCAGACGGGACAGATGGTCGTTGCCCGTGTCCGTAGAGTGAGGCATTTTCGCCATTGGCTGCGAGTCCAGGCGAGAAGGATCGAACCCACGATGATTCCAATGCAGCCCGGGGGGGGGGGGGGGGGGGGGGGAGGATTCCGCCAAGCAAATTCCGGGGGATATTCCTGGGGGGGGGGATTTTTATCCCGGGCAGGCGGTCCATCCCAGGGGAGGTAATCCTCCCCCAAAAGTGGGGTTGGGGGGGGATTGCTCCCGAAACGGGTATCTACCACACTGGGGGGCACCCCCCGGCTAACCGGGGAAAGGGGGGAAAAAAAAAACCACTGCCGCCCCCCCTTTGGGGAAGGGGAAGAAAAAAACCCCTCCCGGGTATTCTCGCGGGAAACAAAAAAAAGAGGGGAAAAAAAGGGGG